ACAAAATTCTTAACTATCTGCCAGACAGGACATGGTCATCATAAAATAAATTTTAAACAGCATAACTTGTTGCCGATTTTCTTGTTCATTTACAATGCCTTTGAACCACTGTGTCCCTTTATAAATTCATATTAGACTGTGTAAATCCAGCGCATTCTCTTTGCAAACAACACGGCGTGGATAAGATATATTTTAGCAAACAAACAATGCCAAATGTCAGCGTTTTATTTACGATCTTGATATCTAAAGGTTGTAGCTATTAATTGTGGACATTGGCATGGTTGTGTTGTTGAATTAATCACAAATTCAAGATTTATATTTGCAATTGTCTCATATCTACAGCAAAGAGGGAAGAGAGACGACACATTTGTAATAGTCTCTCATACATTCAAAAAAAATCCAAGAACTTGTTGAAGATGAGGGCAATAAATAAAATCTTAATATCCACCCACATTTTCCACCCTCATTCTGGTAGCTATGCCACAGAAAATTAACCGCTTCCAATAACCGGTCACATTTATTCACCCCCCCCCCCCCCCCCCCCTCACCCCTTTTTTGTGGCATTATTTTGTCAGCCACATAAATTTCTTCTGCCTTGGTGAAGTGATCAATGATAATTGAATCCTTTTCTAATGACACACAAATTTATTTAATCATGCCACTCACTGTCCCACCACTTGTCGGCATTTCATTCTGGCGGAACGTGTGACCGGAAATGTGATAACAATCGACAATTAAATGACTAACAAGTGTATGATGTCCTTTCGTGAATATTAATGAGAAAAGTTATTGCATTATCAATTTCAGAGGTAAATTGTCGATGCGGCAATTTGAAAATTAGACAAATTGAAAATGTGACGGGGAGTGTATTGGCGGGTAGAGTTAAAGGATATGCGGATAATCTAAATATATAAAAGCGTAATAAAATAATTTTCTGACTGACTGAGAATCAACGTACAGACGAAGCCGACGAAGCTAGAATATTGAGAATAGAATACTGAAATTTTACACGAGGATCAATGATAAGACTAGGATTTTGGAAATTCGGACTAGAAGTAAATTTGGTACCATTCGATATTTTTGGAAACGGATATAGCTAACATCTTGACATTTAGTTTAAAAATTATGTTGAGGAATAGTGTTGATATAAATAGGTGTTTTCGGAAATGTGTACTAAGTGTAACATTTGTACTCATTGGTACTAAATTTGGTACAATTTGGTTTTGGTTGAGCGAATTGATCCGGAAATTTAAAATTACGGTGTTACGGGGTCTGCTGGTGGGTAGGGTTAAGAAAAACAGTTGGGGTTTGAAATGCGTTCAGCGAGCGTACATATAGTACTATAGGTACTGAATTTGGTATCGGATGCTGTTTGAAATATAAAATTCGGTATTGGGATCACTGTAAATGTGTAGGGTTTATAATTAGAGGTGGTTTTGGAAATGCGTACTAAAAAGTTCAAAATTGTACTAAATTTGGTATCTGGGTAAGGGATGGAGTTGGAAGTCTAAAATTTGCTATTAGGATCACCCATTGTGCGGTTTGGTAGATTTGAAATTTCGTACCAAAAAAGTACAAGAAGTACTAAATATTATTAACTTTTGTATTTAGCGAAGGAAACTACCTGGAAATCTGTAATTTCGAGTGAGAGTCGAAAGTACTAAACAGTTCTATATTTTGTTCAATTTGGTACTGGGTAAATAGATAAGGCTTGAAATCTGAAAATTGACATTAGAATTACTGTCAGTTTGTGGGATTGATAATTGGAGGTGGCTTTGGAAATACGTACTAAAAAGTACTGAATTGGTACTAAATTTGGTATTTGTTTATGGGATTGAGTTGGAATCCTAAAATTCGCCATTAGGATCACGTTTAGTCCGGTTTGGTAGATACTTGGCATGGGATCAGAAATTCGTACTAAAAAGTACGAAAAGTATTTGGGGAAGGAATAGAGCTGGAAGTCTGAAATTCGGAGCGAGAGTCTTTGATATTGTGTAGGATAGAAAGACTAAAGGGTTTTTCGAAATTCTAACAATACGTATACCAAAGGTGCTAAAATGCACTTAATTTGGTACCATTTGGAATTCTGGGAACGGATAATGGTAAAATCTGGAAATGCGGTATAAGAACCAATTCTCGGAAATGGGGTTGATGTAAGGCGGTGGTTTTGGAAATGAGTACTAAGTGTAAGGACTGTACTAAATTGTACTAAATTTGGTACAATTTGGATTTGTTTGAGAAAAAAAGTCGTAATTTAAAATTCTGTATTGCAGCCCTTATTGCTGGTTTCTGATTAAGAGGTGGTTTTGGAAATGTGTACTACAAGTGCACGAAAAGTACTAAATGGTACTATATTTAGTACAATATGGTACTGAGTGAACCGATAATGACTGAAATCTGTAATTTGGACCTATGGTGGTGGTTTTGGAAATATGTACTATAATTGTACGAAAAATACTAAATGGTATTATATTTGTTGTTATATGAAGGAATGGATATAAAATTCTGAAACTTGATATTTATTGATGGAATCTGTATATAAAATTTGGTGGTGCTTTGAAAATGCGTCCTATATTTGTACGAAATGTACTAAATGGTACTAAATTTCGTGTTGGGTGAAGGGATATGAATGAAATCCTTAAATCTGCTACAGATGTCTCTGTTGGTTCCTGTGGCTAAGATATGGAGGTGATATTGCAAGTATGTACAATAATTGTTCGAAAAGTACGGAATGGTACTGAATTTGACACCGGGTTAAGGAATAGAGCTGGAATTCCAAAATTTGACATTGAGGTCTCTGTTGAGATATGGAGAAGGTTTTGGAAATGTATACTATAATTGTACGAAAAGTACAAAAATGTACTAAATTTGGTATTGGGTAAAGGAATAGAGCTGAAGTACTGAAAATTGATATGGAAGTCACTGTTGGTGTCTGTGGTCAAGATATGGAGGTGGTATTGCTACTGTGTACAATAATTGTAGGAAAAGTACTAAATGGTGCTACATTTGGTGTTGGGTGAAAGGAAAGAGCTGGAATCCCTAAATATTATATTTACGTCTCTGTTGATATCTAAGGTTGAGATATGGAGGGGGTTTTGGAAATGTGTTCTATAATTGTACGAAAAGTACAAAATGGTACAAAATTTTGTATTGAGTGAGTGAATAGAGCTGAGATCCTGAAATTTCATATGGAAGTCACTATTAGTGTCTGTGGTTAAGATTTGTAGTTGGTATCGCAAATGTGAACTATTATTATTCAAAAAGTACAAGTACAAAGTGGTACTAAATTGAAGAAAGGGTGATGGGATAGGATTCCCGATGTTTGATATTGAGGTCTCTGTTGCTACCCCTATATCTTAGGGGTGATTTTGGAAATGTGAACCATAATTGTACGAAAAGTACTAAAATTTACTAATTTGGGAATTGGGTGAAAAGATAGAGCGGGGATCCTGATATTTGCTATTGAGATCTCTATTGGTATCTGGAACTAAGATATGGAGGTGGTTTTGGAAAGGTGTACCATAATTGTACAAAAAGTACTAAATAGTACTTAGATTGATTTTGGGTGAAGGAATGCAGCTGAAATTCCGAAACTTGACATTGAGGTCTCTGTTGGTAACTTGTGGTGGTTTTTCAAATTAGCACTAAAATTGTTCGAGAAGTAAAAATTTTGGTATTTGGTGAAAGAATAGATGTGAAATCCTAAAATTTGATATTGATGTCTCTGTGTTTGAGATTTGGTTGTAGTTTGAAGATGCTACCTATATTTATACGAAAAGTACTAAATTTGGTATTGGGAGATCTGGAAATCTTCAAATTTGATATTGAGGTCTGTGGTGATAACTGAGAATGAGATCTGGAGGTGGCTTTGCTTACTATAATCGTTCGAAAATATCTAAATTGTACTTTAAATACTAAATGGTACGGAAAAACTTCAAAATCAACGACTGTGAAGATTTTTTGGTGTAAAAGGTACACATTTTCCGACTATCCTTTTGGAAAAAGGAAAAAATTTAATAAAATATGAATACTTTAGTATCATAGATGAATTTTTATTTAAGTAATTCTGTCAAACTGAACAAATTGTGCAATTTGAGTTCTAAAAAGGCCTAATACAAACTGTTGGAACGAATTAAAATTTTATCGGTAGATTTTTCGCTGACCTAGTAGCCTGCACTTTGAAGTGAAGTTATTTAAAATTAGAACCAAATTTTTAGAAGATTATCAAAAAAATCGACTTAGCATCCAGGGGCTGTTCTTTATAAAATTGTATAAAAATCCGGGCCCAAAGACTTTGATTTTGTTCTTCACAAAATGTTCATGAAAAAATCGGCTTAACATCCAGGGGCTGTTTTTTTATAAAATTATATAAAAATCTGACCCCAAAGTCTTTGAATTGTTCTTCACAAAATTTTCATGAAAAAATCGACTTAATATCCAGGGGCTGTGTTATAAAATTTTATAAAAATCTGGTACTGTTCTTCATAAAATTTTCATGAAATCCAATGATAATAGCCTGTTAGTCCTCATAACACCCACGCAAAAGTATAGAATATTCTCAGTCTTCTATCCTTAAAATGTTTTATATATATATATATATATATATATATATTTTTAATTTTCAGTTAAAAGTATCGGAATATACTCAGTCTCCTATCTTTAAATTTTTTATATATTTTTTTTTAATTTTCGATTTAATTGTCACACCATAATAACCTTTAATTGCCATCATCTACCCAGAAAACACTTTCAAATTTCTCCCCTCAAAATCCGGTCAAAGGTTATTAGTCCAGTAATGAAATGACGTGAATTGAACCCTCTGCAAAACCATAAATCGTCCACAAAGATGGGATAATATATAAAAACGCTTAAACTAAGACATTAAATTAAATTAATTTCATTTTCACTTCTTTACTCCTTTACACTTCATTCCGGCTAGTGTTAATGGCGTTTTTTTCTAAAGCCTATTTTTAGGGATTAAGAAAATTTATTAGACTTACCGCTACGTTTCTGCACCATATTATGGCCATAGAGACGGCTTAAATCAATGGCATTGACATTGAACGAACCCAACAGGATTGCAATAAAAATTGGCCATGTTAAGTGTCGCACCAGGATGGAGGATGATGCCGAAGGTGATGATGACGACATGTTGCGTAGAGAGTTGCTCTTTTTTCCTCACAGATGGTAGTTGAGAAACAAAATAAATTTAAACAAAAACAAATTGATTGTTGTTTTTGCGCTTGGAGAACCCTTTTTGTTAGTTAAGCTATTTTGCAGGGCCGTTCAGATAAAAATAACTTATTTTGCAACCAAAAGAAAGGAAATGAAGCGAATACTTGTCGGGTGGTGGCGGCTGTGGTGTTGGCTTCCTTTGTTAAATTCAACTGAACTATAAATAAATTGTGAACTGCAAAAATTGTCAACACTATTTCGTTGTTGGCGGTATTTCGTCTTTTTTGTTTTTTTTTTTTCTGTTTGCTCTTCAAGCCACACCTTTATGTTGTGGAATCACACGTCATTAAACACTAACACAATTACACAATGACGAACATATACACACACATATGCGTTTACACAACAAATGACGTTACAAATGATTTGGTAATGAAGTTATTTTCTGTTTTTCTTCACTGGCATGTGTTTTCACAGCCCGTTCCGTCAGACTTTTTGGCTGGCTGACTCACTTCCACCCACAATGATTTCCTTGGGGTTTTGGGGAAAAGCTGGTGTCTTTGTTGCCGCTGCTGCTACTGCTGCCGTAATTTCCTTTTCCTCTGAATTCGTTTGTGGAGTTTATAAATTGCGGTTTTATGTCTGTTTAGACTTCCTTTGAACTGCCTTTTCGCCTCTTTTTCAATTCCTTTGCCAGCCTAGCTGGTGTCTCGGTGTGTGTGTGGGGTTGTGCGGCTTAATTCTTTGCAATTAATTTCACATTCAATTTTTATGGGTTTCTCTCTGTTTTTGTTTGCTTTATTTGCCCGACAAGTCAAAGCCAATGTTAAATTACAAATAAAACTTTTTTTATGTTTTTCTTTTTTGTTGTTGTTTTCCTTTTTTTGCTGTTTTATTTACTCTTTTCCTTATTGTTGTTATTAAGAAATTATATTCACAGGCAACTTATCTGATATGTTTTGGTTGTTCGTTCATTAATTCGTTCGTTCGTATTTTGTTTTAATTATAATTTCGTCAACTTGTTCGTTTTGTTTTTGTTACATGTTACGCCAAATAAAAACTGTAACGAGAAAAAATTTTGTTGTAAGAAAAAAAAAAATTAATTTTTTTATGTCAAAGAATATTAGATTAAGTGAAAAAAGTTTTCAACAAAGGAAATTGGTGTTTATTTTTCGTTTGATTAAATATTTTGCGTAGGGAACTGGGCTGGGTTGTGACATCGAGGGAAATAAATTAAATTACAACCAAGCCGTAGGAGTTTGTAATTCTGGCAGGGGAAATTGCTGATATAGTCTCCAGAAGTGCTGAGGTCCATGGGTGGATATTTTACTGAACTCCATTTATTTATTATTTTGATATCTTAAATTTTATGTTAAGTATTTGTCTAATTTGAACACAAATACCCGTTTTGTACCCTGTGCCTCACAGAAATAAAATTTTAAGACATACCCATCGGAATTCGTTACAGCATATTTAGAATTGATTCTAGCCATGTTTATGCCACACAGGGAGTATTCGATTTAGTCTAATCTTTGTACATCAAAATATTTTTACCAATTTCAGATGCAGATTGAAGGTGGCCAATATCGGTATACATTTGCAGAAACCTCCCCACAAGAGGCAAAAAAAAAAAAACATAATCATCTCGATGTCGTTGAAACCTCCTGCATTGTATGCTTTATATCAGATCTATAACAGGCGGAAACTGACTATAGTTTCTTCATTTTTTATCTTCCCGCAAAAGGTCATAATAAAAAAAAAACTCATTCTACGTTCATTCCAAATATTTTATATTTTTATTGTATTAAAATATGAAATCAGCCCGGCTTAGATTAGAGCCTGCAACACACTTTTAAAACTTCCAAACTGAAAGACAAATACATTTGATGTAGGAAAAAATCTCACCGTTGTATATGTTAAGCATCGACAGATTTAGAATGATTTGGAATGAAAAAATGCTTAAATTCAATTCGCGTATGCATTTATCTAATAAACCCTCCAAAATTGATCTTTCCCTAGCCGCCAAAATATTATAGGGGCAAGTTGTGTTTGGGGGCTATGCTCGGATCATTTTGAAATTTTTAGCGCAGGTGGGTATTTTTAATCTGATTAATGGAAAAAAAAAATTTTCGTGGGGAAAATACCCGGTTACCCGGTTATTTGAACCGAAAGTTCTAATACAAAATAAGGTTTTTATACGGTTCTACAAAGCCGTAATGTACAATCATGAATATCACTTATGGAATTACCTACCCAACAATTTGTCATATGATAAGTATATTGGAACCGGTTCCGGAGTAATGCAAGAAAATTTGTATTTTTATACCAGCACTTTTTGAAAAACACCTTCAAACTTGAAAAAATACCCATTATAGTGTATTAAGATCTACATGCTACATTATAGCCTATATTCTTGCCTTTCCAAATGGCAAAATGTGATGGAAATTATGAAATTGAGATTTTCTCCACTAATATCTAAACATTTTATAGTAGCTGGCCTTCGGCCGGGGCTTCAGATTTTCTCCCCTGGGATATGTCGAACACCGGCCACGCGATCCATAGTTTTTCTAAGCATTATAATTTTGGAAGGTAACCGGTCTTCGGCCGGGGCTTGAGATTTTCTGCCCTGGGATATGTCTTACACCGGCTACGCGATGCATAGTTTTTCTAAACATTGTAAATATGGTAAGTAGACGGCCTTCGCCCGGGGCTTGAGATTTTCTCCCCTGGGGTATGTCCTACACCGGCTACGCGATCCATAGTTTTTCTAAATATAATTTTTAAAGTCAATATCTTAGGAACTACAAAGCTAAGATACATATTAGTGGTGGAAATCTCAATTTCATGATTTGCAACAGTAATATCTTCGGAACTACAAGAGATATCAATACCTATAGCAACTTTTTGGAAAGGCCAGAGTGCAGGCTATAAGGTATTATGCAATTTCTAATACCCCATAATGGGCCCATTTTCGACTTTTTATGGGTTTTTCAAAAAGTTTCGGTACAAAAATACCAATTTTTTGTATTACTCCGGAACCGATTGAAACCACCCACCACATACCACGTTTTAGAAAGGTATTTCCATAAGCTTTCAAATGATACCCATTTTGAACATTTCAGTTGTGTACAACCGGATAAAACCTGGATTTTTTATCCGAATTTTCGGGTCGAATAAACTGGTAAAAATTTCAGGTCAATCCGAGCATAGCCCCTAAACTCAACTTAAGTCAAATCATTAAATACTCATCAACAAAAGATGGAAAAACCAGGTGTGAAAACTGTAATAAATCACTCACCAAAACTTAAATATGTGCCAATGTTATGCCATGTTTACGTTAGAACTTTTTGTAGGGTTAACCTACTTTGAGAGGATTTATTTGAAGTAAAAGTAATGGGTATGACAATTTTAATCCAAATCCAGTGGGTTAACCCTCATATATATAAACGTACTATTAGATAGGAATGGAACTCATCAGTCCAAGACACCAATAGTGATCCAAAATTATTACCATTTAGTATTTTTCGAAAATTTATAGTAGGCATTTACAAAACCCCCACCAGGTACCAACAGAGGCCTCAATATCAAATTTCGGGATTCCAACTCCGTCCCTTCACCAAATACCCAATTTAGTACTATTTGGTATTTTTCAAACAATTATAGTACACATTTCCAAAACCACCTCCATATCTCAACCACAGACACCAATAGTGACATCTGTATTAAACTTCGAGATTCCAGTTCTATCCCTTCACCCAACACCCAATTTTGTACCACTTAGTACTTTTCGAACAATTATAGTACACAGTTCCAAAACCAACTCCATAACATAACCACAGACACAACGGTGGCCTTAATAACAAATTGTATGAAATTCAAATTTCCAAAACTATCTCCTTACCTCAATCATACAATCCCATTAAAAGTTTCAGGACACCAGCTCTATCGGTTCGCCCAAATACAAATTGTACCAAATAGTACTCAAAAGTACGAATTTCCGAAACTACCTACATACTTCAGTCGTACAATGGTAATGTTATTTCGAACCTTCAGGATACCATATCTAATGATTTACCCAAACCAAAATTGTACCAAAAGTTGTACATTTTATTTGAAGTAGGTAAGAATTTCAAAAACTTCCCACATATCCCAATCCTATGTATACTCCGACTGTAATCTTATCTCTAAATTTCAGGATACCTTGCCTATTGGTACCATTTAGAACACATAAGTACGAATTTTCATAAATACCTACATTACACTGTCCAATAGAAATCTTAATTCCAAAAATTTCAAGATTCCAACTCTATAGGTTTTCTCAAAACTTAAAGTGTACCAAATTTATAACCATTTAGTACACATCAGTACGAATTTCCAAAACTACCTACATTTCTCAGTCCTAAAATGTAATAGTAGTCTTATTTCTAAATTTCAGAATTCCAGCTCTATCGGTTCACCCAAATCTTAATTGTACCAAATTTAGTACTTTTTGTGCACATGAGTACAAAATTGTACACAATTTTTATATTTAGTACACATTTAGTACACATATTTAGTACACATAATAATGAATTTTTAGAATATACCCTAGTCCTACAATACAATAGTTATCTCTTTTCCAAATATCAGGATTCCAGCTCCATCCGTCTCTTCAAACTCATATTGTACCAAATTTAGAACCGTTGACACACACACACACTTTCAAACCTACCTACTTAAATCGAATCTACTCCTCAACACGTACAATTATAGTGCGATTCTAAAAACACTTTGGTATATCCACATACACTCCCTCAGTGATCCTCATAAGGACTTCTAGCTGTACTGGTTCGTCAAATACAAAGGATACCAAATTAAGTACTTTTTAGCACATTTCCAAAAACCCAACCTTATCTGTCACTTATGGACCAAGAGTGATCCTCACACAAAATGTGAAGATTCTGGTTTCAACAACAGTAATCATTAGCAAATGACGGCTACTTCGTTAGCGAAAATTCCACCTTAGATTACCGGCCTTCATAGTACAAAATATGCACAGTTTGTCTGTTTGACAACATTTTTTAATCAACTGCTCCATATATAAACCCTGGAAACCAAAAGCGACCTCAATATCAAATTTGAGAATTTCAGATCTATCCCTTCTTCCAATACCAAACCTAAACCAAACTGCTCCAAATTCAGTTCGCACATTTAGTACATATTTCCAAAAATTTTCAAATTTGTATTCCTATTCGTTCACATAATACCAAAAGGTACAATTTCAGAAGTTTAACACCATTTTAGTGCTTCTTGTAACCTTAAAGTTCGAATTTCCAAAAACCCTTTGGTACATCTATGGTGCATTCCAATAGTGGCTGTCATTTCGGAATTCTAGCTCTTTACGTTTGTTCAACACTAAGTATTCAACTTTAAGGACATTTTAGTACTTTTCATAACTTTTAAGTACGAATTTCAAATTTCGAATTTGCATGGGAAATGTCAAGATTCTACCTTCAGCCGTTTCGTCGGGACGTTTATTTTCGGTCTCAGTTAATGATTTGTTTTCCAAATACAGACATACTCAGTTGAAACATATTTCCTCTCTGGCAAAACCTTAATTTCGTCCCTAAATGAAGCTCTTTAAATTTCTCCCAAACAATTGCTTTGTAAAATTCACAGCCAATATGCTGCCTACTTTAAGGCATATTGGAGCCATCATCATCACTGTGAAGCCAACGAATAATAAAATATGTAAACGATTGAAACTTTTATATCTGGCATATTAACGATGTTCTTTCATCGAGTAATCCTCTTGTTTCGTTCTTTATTTTTTGGTGGGGTATTAAATGGGATTTGTATTTTTCAACAAAAAAACAAAGAACATTCAAAATAGTCCATAAAAAGTAAAGACAAAGAAAAAACGGTGAATTGTTTTTTTTTTTTTTGGTGTTTCCATCAATACATTGTTAACAGCTGCGGGGTTCGATTAAAGCGGTATGTTTTTGGCAGCCGTTTTTTGATGCCAAGCTTAATGGAAATTACTTATCATAACTGTTGCCTACCTGTTGCTGTTACTGTGAA